TCTCTCACACATTTCCCAATGATCATTTTCACATAAATTGACTGCCTCTCCCAAATAATGTGAAAATTGTGGAATACATTTACTTAATGTTTGCCCACCAGGCATTTTCACCATTCAACTGGAGATCCACTGTATATTGGAATGCAAATTGTAGTGGCAAAATATTTTTAAGTGTGCTAAGTATTGGTTTAGAGAATCACTTTAACACATGTATTGATTTTAGCAAGTCAAACTCAGTTTTCCTTGACTGGGGAAGGCAATGACATGTAGTAATTTGTGCTTTTACTGAGGGAGGTATTTGAAATGAAAACACAGAAAAGCATGGGTATAAGAGTGAGTCATTGAGCTAGTGGGTAAAAGCCAAACTGAACCCTCAACTATTCTCCACGTGCTGTCATTTTTACAGAGAAGCCAGTTCATATTGAGGATACTGCCAAAGGGCTGTCTGCAACATTGATATTTCTGTGTAATTTCTTTTAATCCTCAAACTTCTCTATGAAGTAGATACTAATATTGTGTTCCCCATCGTACAAGTTAAGATTCTGAGAAAGGTGAAGAGATTAATCTCAGGTCACACACTAAATGATGGTGTCAAGATTATGGCCACCTCAGTCTGACCTCAGAGTCTGAACTCTTGGCCTCAGGATGTCACTAGAGTAAGTTTAGCTAATGTCATTTCATAAGGAAGGCTTACTGTGAATCATGCATTTAATAAAATTATTTAATCATGCAATAATCACATCAGTTGAGTATATAGACCTCACAGAGGGTCTGTACTAAAAATTTCAACTTGGCGCTTAGAAACTTGCACTGTGAAGAGAGACTGCCCACAGGTTACCAAACATGTGCCCTTAGACAGACTTAATTCCCTGTACTGCAACTTCTTAATCAGAAAAATGAAGATAATAGGAGGTTAGAGAGAGTGTACAGCAGGTAAGATGCTTGCCTTGCAAGTGGCCAACCGGGTTTAATCCCTTACACCCCAGATGGCTCCCCAAGTATACTAGGAATAAGCCAGGTAAGAAAATGAAGAAATATAGAAGAAATAAAGGAAGGAAGGAAGGATGGAAAGAAAGAAGGATAGAAGGAAGGAAGGAAGGAAGGAAGGAAGGAAGGAAGGAAGGGGGGAGAGGGAGAAATGAAGGAAGGACCCTTCTTCATAGAGAAGGACCCTGCTTCATAGATTAAATGAAATACTACATATAAAGCTGATAGTTGCACAAAGAATGCTAGCTATTTTAATTATAATTTATATATGGCTTTTTATGAAGAAAATAACTTGTTACGATGTTTTGAGAACTTCAGAATCTCTGAATGTCTTAGGATATATTGCTGAACTCAACCTGAGTTTCTTTATTGGTGTTACTGCTCTTTAGTTGATTCTCTTTATTTAATCAGTGCTTGCACGATCTCGATCTCTGGTAATGTAATTAATTTTAATTTAGAATTAAAGGTGAAGTTCCTGTAAAAAACTGAATACCAAAGTGTTTCTATATACATATATAAACTAAATGATAATAAAACAAGGTGATCTTTCTACAGAAAACTAAGTGATTACAACCAGAGGGGTTGTCTACAAAAGAGGCACTTTAATAAATGTGTCTCTGAGAATTTAAACTTGACTTTGGCAGAGATACTTTTCCTATGATAGAGAACCCTCCCTTTGCCAAATATCTTGGAAAAGGTAAATGCTGCAAATCTCTGTCTTTATGCCAACTCATTTGAGAACAGGGAAAATTACCAAACAGATGCTCCCATAAACCTAATCTCAGAATGTTACTGGGGCCCAAGAATCTCTCCCCTAGACAAGGAGAAGTTGGCCACAGTTTAAATTCCTATGCATCAGCAGCTCATAAACTAAGCTGAATTAAGAAATGACAGCAAGAAATATGAGGATGTGACAAATACAACACCAGAATTTATCAGAAATAGTATACTTACAAGACAAATAATTTAGCTCCCAATAAAACAGAACAAGTAAAATGCTCACAAACATTAACCTAAAGCAAACAATCTGGATTAAGAAGCTACATTAATTGACTACATTTCTCCTCCAGCCCATAAGTATTACCACACATTTTGAGGTCTGCATTTAGTCCATTGATCACAGATCCCCAAAATTAAGTAATATCTGCACAGTCTGTAGAGAAAAAAGCACTTCTCATTTCCACCTCAAACCATTTTTGGTAGGCCAGATGTCTCGGCCTTTAATCAAAACAACTAATTTCATTTGTTTGCTTGTTTGTTTGCTTTTGGGCCACACCCAGTGGTTCCCAGGGCTTACACCTAGCAGAGCTCAGAGAGCCATATGGGGTGCTGGGGACTGAATGTGGGTTGGCTGCACGTAAGGAAGGCACTCTGCCTGCCACACTATCTCTTTAGGCCCTCCAGACATATAATTTGGGGTAGGCTATTTGGGACCACACCTGGAAGCTCAGGGGCTACCCAGCACATTGCTGGAGGGACTGTGTAGTGCAGGAACTGAACTCAGACCCCTACTTCAGCCCGTTGAGCAGGCTGGCCAGCCCACTGACCTATCTCTCCAGGCTAAACAAATAATTCTTTAAGGAAAGAAGTTCACTCAGCTTTCAGACCAATGGTTGATACCTGCCACTTACATTTAACTTTTCAGTGGTTTTCTCGAGCAAGTGATGCATTAAATTTTTCCCATTACCATGATATTTTGTTAGATAGATGGTGTTTCACATAGGATTCAGGGGGGGGGGGGAAATCCTGCCTAATAATGTTCCATAAAATGAATAGGTTTACCCTTTAGATGATTAATGGTCAACAGAAGGGTAAAGTTAAATTGACCCAGGAAATTTAAATTGGGTAGAGAAAAGATTAGAATGAAAACTTTTAATGTATTCACAATGACTGACTTCAAAGGAGGGTACTAAATCCAGTAAGATTATTTTTTACCATGTTCATGGGTGATTCAAAGACTATGGGAACTTGAATTGGACAAGAGCATGCTATATCTGTGAGGGCTTCGAAGCAATGCAATGCCAATTAGGCACAAACTGCACTGTGATAGTCAAGATTGATCCCTCATTACAATAATGAGCCATATTTATTAGAGTAACTGGCCAAAGCAGTCAATCACTTTTCTTGGATCTGTTTCTTTCACAAGGTGGATAAGTTGGATACGTTACAAAGTCCCACACAATTTCAGTATCTAAGTAGTGCCGTCTTTTACACATGTACTATTTAAGGCAGAATGAATATATATCTAGAGAGTTCCAAGGTTGACTGGCAGAAGGTATATAAGAGCATTTGAAATAACATCAGGAATAAATCATTGAACACAATGTTACTGTTACGAAAGGCTCTTTGAGTTATTCTAGGGAGAAAGAAAAGGAACTTTTAATCTAATACTTTCATTTCTTCCTCTTCCTCTTTCAAATCTCAGAGTTTGCAGCTCTCAGTCAAGAAGCAAATTTCTACTTCTAGTGTGGTGAAAGGACCCCTCCTCCTTTGTTCTCCCTGGCACTGTATGCTCCCTCAAATAATCAGATCACTTATATTTTGTCTCCATTAGTAGAAAAGAATTCCATAAAGACAAGTACTTTATCATTAACTGTTAAAAAATCTTAATATTCATAAGAAGCTGTACATGGCCCAGTTCAAACTGTAGACTGAGACAATTTACCGAGCTGATGAAGAAACCAAGTTACAAACTTAGGTTTTTCTCCTCCTGTATAAGTAAAGAAAGTACAGGTTTTGTAGGTGCTCATTTCTTTGTTTATAGATTCTAAATAATACACTAGACTTCGTGGAAAGTGTTTTTTTAAATACTGCCATAAATCAATAAGTTTCAACATTCACAAATTGGCAAATATTGGCAAAAATATTAAGAACCAATGAAAGTGAAGAAACATTGTACAGATCATCTAAGAAAGTTTCCCAGGAGGTTACCTTTGAGTTTGGTTGTGAAAGATGGATACAGGAGAGGGGTGTTGCAGGAAACATGGATACAGAGACACAGAGACACAGACAGAAAGACAGAGAGACTGAGTGACTGACTTCCAGGCAGAATGTCATGAGAGACAGCATGATCAGAAAAAGGAAAGGACTGAACCCTGGCAAGGTGGGCAAGAAGCAGTTTTTGCTGCACTAAAGAGTCTGAAATCAGAGAAACAGGACAGTTCAGAGAGTTGTAGCCCACACATACTGGTATGTACGGGGGCCTGTGTTGGACCCCAGCAGCACTGCATGTCCCTCTTCCAGCACCGCCAGGCTGAACAGCACTACATGGCTAATCTCAGCTCCACGGCGAAGTCTCCCTCCCACCAGTGGAAAAAGAAATCTGGACTCTGGACTTTCTCTTCAGTAGACTGGGATCTGCTAAATACTTAAAGCAGAGGCACAACACAATCAGACAGATCTAGTGAGTGCTGTTTCTCTAGCAAACAGAGAAGAAAACGGATATACCTAATGAGATGGGAGAGGGAAGTGCTGGAATCTCTGGCTGCAAAGACTGACCAGAAGCACCATGAGCTAAATGCAATTGTAGAAAAGTAAAACGCACACACACACACACACACATAAGATATATACATAATATGTATATATATATATATATATTACTGTCATCCCATTGTTCATCAATTTGTTCAAGCGGGCACCAGTAATGTCTCACAACAAATTGTGAGACTTGTTGTTACTGTTTTTGGCATATCGAATACGTCACAGGTAGCTTGCCAGGCTTTGCCGTGTGGGCGAGATGTTCTTGGTAGCTTGCCGGGCTCTCCGAGAGGGGCAGAGGAATCAAACTTGGGTCGGCTATGTTGGATGCATGCAAGGCAAACGCCCTACCTGCTGTGCTATGGCTCCAGCCCATATATAGTTTATACTCTACTCTCTGGTAGAGATTATCAACTCCCTGAGAAAATAAAGTGCATTCCTCTCCAAGACATAGCCTATAAATAACATACTCTCTATAGGCATGATAATCTTGCAGAAGTGCTTATTTTTCAAGATGAAATGACTTTTCATACCTGAGACACTCTGTCTGTTGGCATCTGAGTCCCCATTACTAGAGTTGGAATTGTTGGAGGAGTTGTTGTCAACCCCTCCCAGGAGGGGGCGCAAGTGGCTCACTGAGACTTGTTCAATGAAGGATGTCCCATACTTGCGAAAGTACCACCACTCAAATATCTGCAACAGAAAACAGGGTAAGGAGTGTTTCTGTTATTATTAATAATTTGTGTGTAAGTCCCATATGATTTCTGTACATAGGATTTTAAAATCATACCCACCTTAAAAATAGGATAAAATCATACCCGCTTTAAGATGGGCATGTTTGCATTTACTAATCACCCCCATTTTAAATATTTAATAAATCAGTTTTATGCCAAGAGATTTGACATATCCTAAACATTAACATTTAATTAGTAAATCAATTACATTTTAAACTGTCAATGTGGTTTACTCCACTTAGCACTGCTTTTCAAAAAAATTTATAAATATAAATACTGGTAAGAATGCAATCAATTCAGTTACTTATGGAATGATTAAACTTACTATAGAAATCATTTTCCATTTATACAAGTACAGCAGTAGGGTGTTTGCCTTGCAAGCCGCCGGCCCAGCTGAGCCAGGTTCAATTCTTCTGCCCCTCTCAGAGAGCCCGGCAAGCTATCTAGAGTATCTCGCCCACACAGCAAAGCCTGGCAAGCTACCGGTGACGTATTCAATATGCCAAACACAGCAACAACAAGTCTCAAAATGCAGATGTTACTGGGCCCCCTCGAGCAAATCGATGAACAAAGGGAGGACAGTACTACAGTGCTACAAGTATCGGTCATTATATAATACATATTAAGTTACAGTAATATTGTATATAAATTTTACCTTTTAAAAAAGAGCTCCAATATTATCTTCTTCCAAATTTACATACCAAAAAATTAAGAAATGTATAAATATAAACCAGTTTTAGAAATGTGCCTACACTGACTCGGCTCTTCACACACTACCTGTCTGAATGCAAGGTTCCGTCCCAGTGGAAAACCAGCAGGACTGTACTACTATACAAGAAGGGAGACATCCAGGACATTGGCAACTGTTGCCTGATCTGCTTGTTGTCTGTCGTCTACTAGCTGTTTACTTGAGTCATCCTGAATAGGACTGGCAGAACACTAGATGGAGGACAACCATGTGAGCAAGCTGGGTTCCGCAAAGATTTCAGCATGATCGAACATATCCACACACTAACCAAGCTCATTGAGGTTTCTCAGGAGTTCAAGATGCTGCTCTGTCTAACGTTCATTGATTTAAAGAAGGCCTTTGATTCTGTTGAGACTGAAGCAGTCATTGAAGCCCTAGCCAAACAGGGCATTCAAACTCAATACATCAGAATTCTCCGTGAGCTGTATTATGGATTCACTACCAGGATCTCACCATTCTACAAGGAAGTGATCGTCCATGTCAAGAGAGGGGTTCAGCAGGGTGATGCCATTTCACTGAAACTCTTCAGTGCCACCCTCGAGAACGTCATGCGATGACTGGAATGGGAAGGAATGGGAGTGAAGATAGATGGTCAGCAACTACACCACCTCTGCTTCGCTGATGACATTGTTCTCATAACACCAAACATTAGCCAAGAGGCACAAATGCTGGCTGACTTCGACCATGAATGTGGAAAGGATAGACTACAGCTGAATCTCACAAAGACAATGTTTATAAGAAACAATCTCGTTCCTGATGTTCCATTTGCTCTCAATGGAACGAACATCTCTGAATGCAACAGTTACATGTTAGGTCGAAAAGTCAACATGACGAACGACCTGGCACCTGAGTTGCGCAGGAGGAAGAGAGTGGCTTGGAACACCTTCAAGAGCATCGAAGAAATAGCTAAAAGGATGAAGAACCTCCGGCACCAGGCACATCTCTTCAATTCCACTGTTCTTCCTACATTAACATACGCCTCAGAGACCTGGGCCCTACGAAAACAGGATGAGAATGCTATTTGGGTCTCCCAAAGAGGAATCAAAAGAGCTATGCTTGGAGTATCACACTTCACACAAATGAGAGAAATAGTCCAGAATTCCGACCTCCATTCACAATCAAGAATCAGGGACGCTGTCTCGTTTGCCAAGGCATCAAAAATCAGATGAGCTAGACACATAATGCGATTTGGAGATGACCGCTGGACTAGAGACATTACCAACTGGATTCCATGGGACTTCAAAAGATTGCATGGCCGCCCACCTATGAGATGGTCAGATTTCTTTGTCAAGACCCTGAGTGATCAGTTTGAGGCTCTTCGAGTTCCTAGAATGAGCAGACGCCACCGGGCTACACTAGCACACAAAAGGGACAAATGGAGACGTTAGTGGCACCCGCTTGAGCAAATTGATGAGTAATGGGATGTCAAGTGATCACGTGAAGTGTGCCTACACACTGAAGGAGGGCACGTTAGCCCAGTGCCTACCAACACAGAGCTCCCGGCAGCCCCACAACCTAGTTCCCACAACCGAAAAGCACTACCATACCCCCAGCCAGACTCCATCATCTAAGGATGGACCTTACCAAGATATTAATCTGCTGAAAATTCAGGTACGTAGGTTTTGTGACTGAAATCTCCAGGCTTCCTCAGAATTAGGGCTACCTACCCCACCCCTTGCCCCATTCCTGTACTTCCAGAAGCCCCAGCAGTCACATTCCCACCCCAAAACTGCCACCCAGTTAAAAAAGCAACTCCAGCATTACCTTCCTGATAAAAATACTGAACACCCTGAACAAACACTAGGACCTCTTAGTACCTGTATTGCAAACCATAATGAACAAAAGGGGGGAGAGAGAGAGAGAGAGAGAGAGAGAGAGAGAGAGAGAGAGAAGTGTCTGCCATAGAGGCAGGATGTGGGGCTGCGGGGGGGGGGAGGGAAACTGGGGACATTGGTGGTGGGAAATGTACACAACACAGGTGGAGGGGTGGATATTGGAATATTGTATAATGGAAACCCAATCAGGAACAGTTGTAGTGATTCAAAAACAACAACCACAAAAAATGAAGTATACCTTATGATACACTCCAATTCTTGGCACTTTGTTATAAAGACATGCTTGCATAAAAAAAAAGTAAACATAGCAAAATTCTACTGAAAAGACAGACAGGTCTCTATAGAGAAACACTGGTTCAACAGAATGAAAGAATAAAATTCCTCCATTTCTTGTATGGATTCAACCCAACAGTGTCTCCCACTTGCTAAGAAGCGCTTTATAAACTCGAGCATTTGTTGTACATCTTTACATTTCCTAGTTTACAACCTGCCAATTGTTGTGTTCTGTAAAATGCAAAAAGAGAAAAGAAATAACTGTCATTCATGAAAAGACGGAGGCAGACTGAACATCAGAACTCCCGAAGCACTAGAAAAGTTACCTTCTTGGACCCTCTCATTTGGCTTGCTCTAGCCCCCAGAGAACACTTGCACTACTTCTCAAGGTCATTCTCCCCACACCCTTTCCCCCTCTGTTTGATTTGGGATTTGTTCCTTAAGTAGTGACAGATTATTAGAGAGAAAAAAATTAAGAATCAACTTTATCCCAGGGGCTGGAGAGATAGGACAGGAGGTAAGATACTTGCCTTGCATGTAGCCAACCCCAGTTAAGATCTACACAAATGATCCCGTGAATGATCTACTAAGACTATTTAGTCAGCAAGTAGACCCTGTGCATCATGGTGTGTGATCCAATACCTCCAAGAGAGTCAACTATATTCCAATCTCATAGGATATTGTAGCACTGTCCTCCCGTTGTTCATCGATTTGCTCGAGCGGGCCCAGTAACGTCTCCATCGTGAGACTTCTTGTCACTGTTTTTGGCATATTAAATACATCATGGGTAGCTTGCCAGGCTTTGCCATGTGGGCAAGATACTCTCAGTAGCTTGCTGGGCTCTCTGAGAGGGGCGGAGGAATCAAACCCAGCTCAGCCGGCCAGCTGTATGCAAGGCAAACGCCCTAACGCTATGCTATAGGATACTGTATTTTTATAATATGTGATAGAATAGGGCTGGAGCGATAGCACAGTGGTAGGGCGTAAGCCTTGCACGCAGCCAACATGGCCGACCCGAGTTCGATTCCTCCGCCCCTCTCAGAGCCCAGCAAGCTACCGAGAGTATCTCACCCGCACGGCAGAGCCTGGCAAGCTACCCGTGATGTATTCAATATGCCAAACACAGTAACAACAAAGTCTCCAATGGAGACGTTACTGGGCCCGCTCGAGCAAATCGATGAACAATGGGAGGACCGTGACCGTGACTGGACCGTGATAGAATAAGGGGACTGGAGTGATAGCACAGTGGTAAGGCATTTGCCTTGCGTGCAGCCAGCCCGGCCGAGCCGGGTTCGATTCCTCCGCCCCTCTCGGGTAGCCTGGCAAGCTACCAAGAGTATTCAATATGCCAAACACAGTAACAAGAAGTCTCACAATGGAGACATTACTGGGCCCGCTCAAGCAAATCAATGGACAACGGGAGGACAGTGACAGTGACAGTGATAGAATAAAACACTAACAGAATTATTCCCATCATCTTTCTCCATTCATAAAAATGAAATTTCATTACATACTTCCTAGTGGGCTTTGGGCTATCATTAAAAGTTGTTTTCACTCTTTGACACAACCAAAATTGTGTTTAGCACTGTAGCACTGTCCTCCCGTTGTTCATTGATTTGCTTGAGTGGGTCCAGTAACGTCTCCATTGTGAGACTTGTTGTTACTGTGTTTGGCATATCGAATCCATCAGGGGTAGCTTGCCAGGCTTTGCTGTACAAGCAAAATACTCTCGATAGCTTGCCAGGCTCTCCGAGAGGGGTGGAGGAATCGAACACGTGTCAGCCTGGTCGGCTGTGTGCAAGGCAAATTCCCTACCTGCTGTGCTATCACTCTAGCCTATGTATATATGTGTATAGGGAAAATAGGAAAGTCAAGAAGGGAAAAGACAAATCAATATATGTAATCCATATAATACTAGTCAATAATGTTGGAAAAACTGGCATAAGAGATCCTGCTCAAAGAAGAATTTTTTTAAAAGAAAGAAAAAAATGAATGGTAAAATTACAATTCACAAGGGAGTTTATTGCTCTACGTGAGTATTTCGTCTATTTGAAGATTATTTCTTCAACCAGAACGTGAAAATTAAGTAATTACAAATTACTT